CACACACACACACACACACACACACACACACACACACACACACACGCACACACACACACACACACACACACACACACACACTCACACAAAAACACACACACACACACACAAAAGTACGGAAACGAGCCGAGCAATACAGCAGTTACATCAGTGACGATCAGTCGAAAGCCGGAAGGGGTTCTTCAGGATTCAATATTAGACCGTCCAACAAATCTCTGAGGCTGTTAACGATCTTCAACAGTCCAGTGCGTTGACCAGCTGCTTCTCACCAAAGACCTGCAAAAGCCAACCATTCAAACTCCGGAGAGAGAGAGAGAGAGAGAGAGAGAGAGAGAGAGAGAGAGAGAGAGAGAGAGAGAGAGAGAGACATGCACACACACAGACACACACAGACACACACACGCACACGTGTGTGCGCACGAGAAATGAGACACAATTCGCTGAGTGAGCTAAGCTCGCGGATAATAAGGACATAGAGATGTGAAGAGCACAAATGGACGGGAGACGAGACAGCCATCTCATCCACCGGCAAACAGCCACAGTCAGGAAGGGAAGGGTAAGAGACAAAGAGATGGAAAGAGGAGCCAGAGGAGCCCCCATCGCAAACTTTAAGAAAGAACGACTGCAATCGCGATTCGTGAAGTGCAGAGCTTCTTCATAAAGCATAGAGAAATACAGGGTAGAGAAGACTTGAGTTCAGAAGCCAAACCTTTGAGCCTCCGCCAAGAGCGACCACCACTTCTCCCCCGAGTATCCTTCGCTTCTGTTGGCTCGCTCAGGGACTGTTCCTTTATATAGCAAGCAAGCTTCTGCACCGAGTTGCATGCCAACGAGCGAGAGCACTGGCGGTTTTTTTTTTTTTTTTTTTTTTTTTTTTTTTTTTTTTTTTTTGAAGCTTCAGGGGGGTTTCTTTGGCTTCCCTGTGTAGGCTCGTGTAGGGACTGTTCCCTTACAGTATTCAGTAATTTTTTTATTTTTATTTTTTTCAGCGGGCTCCAGTAATGGACCGCATAAGGGGGCCTCGCCACATCACTGTGAAAACGAAAAACGAGCGAGATGCATCACTGTCAAAACGAAAAACGAACCAGATGCATTCCTTACTATGGATAGTAATGGACGCATCTTACCACTTTCTGAGCCAGATGCATTTGCTCTCTTATCGTTTGGACAGTGGTGTCCCAAGGCCCAGAGTCTTGTGCCGGAGATAGTCACTGTGGTGGAGTGGTGGAGAAAGGGGCGCCGTAACCAAAATGTGACATGGGCTGTATTTCTCCAGGTTCTAGGGGAATATACACCCTATACAACCTCCATTTCTTTTTTTTCTTTTTAAAAAAAAAGGCTAATTCCAACCAATTCAATTACCTGTGTCGAATCTGGACAGGACGGCCTCTCAGGCCTTTTTAATTGTCATTATAGTATTATTATGGGGAACCCCGTAGCAGCCACATCCGTGCTCAAGCCTCCAACGAGGGAACATGCGGGAGCTGCACCTACCAGCACAGCAGGCGGGTGGTACGGGCCAGGGGTCAGCCGGGGGCCAGGTCCCACCAGCAACACCTGAATCTGATCGTGTCTGTAAATATGTGCAGAAATCGCGTTGAGTTTTTGTCAACCGCACTTCTCCACGAACGCTTCCAGATTCAGGCGTTGAGGAAACTCAACGCTGCTGCTAGTGGGACCTGCCCCCCCTAAGATCTGGACCTACAGTAGCTTCGTAGACGGGCCAGTCACTGTGCCTCCCCTCTGGTGGTGGTCCCCTCCCCCTATGAACATTAGCAGTCTCTGCTCAATGCCACTCGGGGGGGCCAACGGCATATCTCTAGGTGGCGGGCGCCAAACTCGCCCAGGAAGGTACATGAGGCCAATCGGGATTGAACCCAAGACCTCCTGAACGCCACTTGCGTGCCTTACCAACCGAGCTAGGCCGCTCGGTCAACCTCCATTCGTTCCACATCTCAAAGCTATTTCTGCACATATCCACAGGCAAGTCCAGATTCAGGCCTTGAGGAAACTCAAGGCTGCTAGTGGGACCCGGCCCCCCAAAGGACGACCAGCGGTAGAACTTTTTTTTCTTTTTTTTTTTTGAAAAAAGGGCGACGGCCTTGAGATATTATCATTTGACCTGACCGGCCCCAAGCAATTCATTAGTAGTTGGTTTTACTTGTCAAGTTCCATCATCTGGATTCGAACACAGGTCTGTATTTCAACAGTTCATGGGTGTGGTCCCCACTGAGCTAGGCTCTTGGGTACCCGGTAGAACTTTCGAGTCGTCGCATCACTCACCAACCTCCATTTCAGAGGCTAGTGAGTGATGCGACGACTCGAAAGCTCGACGCATTCTTAAAAAAAAAAAAAAAAAAAAAAAGTTCGACGCGKGGTTTAAAAAAAAAAAAAAAAAAAGTTCTAGGCGTGGTCGTTCTTCGGGGGCCGGGTCCCACTAGCAGCGTTGAGTGTCCTCAACGCCTGAATCTGGACGTGTCTGTAGATATGTGCAGAAATCGCGTTCAGAGGTTGGTGAGTGATGCGAAGACTCATAAGTTCGACGCGTGGTCTTCCTTCGGGGGCCGGGTCCCACTTCTTCCCCCGAATACAACGTACGGTCATTATAGCTGTATCTTTCGGTTTAGATACAGCTATAATGACCGTACGTTGTATTCGGGGGGTAAGAAGGTAGCAGGGTTGAGTTTCCTCAACGCCTGAATCGGGACGTGTCTGTGGATATGTGCAGAAATCGCGTTGAGTTGAGTTTTCAAAACCTCACATTTCCACGAACGAGTCCAGATTCAGGCGTCTGCTAGTGGCACCTGGCCCCGGGGGCGGGGTCCCACTGTCTACGTGTAGTTGTAGCTAACAACTCGATGCCCAGTTGAGTTTTCTCAACCCCACATCTCCACGAACAAGTCCAGATTGAGGCGTCTGCTAGTGGGACCTGGCCCCGGGGGCCGGGTCGCACTGTCTACGTGTAGTTGTAGCTAACAACACGATGCGACATCGTGGGCAGGCACGCGGGTGGCATTCGACGGAGATTTCGTTGACTGAGATTTCGCGTAACCTTTGGTTACGGGATCCAATCCGTACGGCACTGTCGTTGCATTTGTCGTGTGCAGTGCTCCCACGGGCATTGCCGTAACCCCCACGGGCAATGGTTGTGTGAAATTCAATAGTGTGCGGTCCCTACGGTGATTCGTAATGGATAGTGGGATCCAAATGGACTGCGTGCGTCATCCCTGCGTCCTTTCTTTTTTTTTTTTTTTTTTTTTCCCCTCATTGAAAGAGTCCCATCTATATAAAAAAAAAGTTTGCCGGGCGCGTCGGTTGGTGCAGTTTTAGCGCTCTAAGTTTGCGCCTTCGGCCAGACTGGCCGAACCGGCCTCACGGGTCTTCACCGCCATGATGAGAACCACGTGTGGAGAGTGTCGTCTCGCTCGGTAATTTCCGAGCAAACCTCCCCGCAGGAGAGGGAGACTGTCAGTCTAGGTCGGCCCGGGTGATTCACTTTATTGTTGTGTGCGGGATGTTCGTGGTGTTGGGCGCTCGCCAGTAGGCGACCGCCTCTCAGAAGTGTCATATGCATCATATGTAAGTAGTTACGTGAAGGAGCAGAGGGCGTAAGTAGAACGGAGTAGAAGCTTAGCCTTAATTGCATCGAGGAGGCGAAGGATGGCTACGTCAGGGGCAATTGCTGGTTCAAGTGGACGGAGAATTGACAGGTCGCCACCAACAGGGTCGGAAGTGCCAGAGTCTGAAGACCAAAGGATGAAGCAGCTCATTGCGAAGTGCTATGAGGACGGCATCTTCCCGACGGAACTGAGACAAGGCAAATTCATTACGGAGAACGGAGAGCGCATATTCGTGGTGGATGACCGAATTGGTGAGCTAACTACTAAGTGGCTCAAGGAGCGCACTGTAACGATAATCTTCCAGGGTGAGGCTCGCTCTCTACCAGCCAAGATAATGGAGAATCTCGTTCGAGCCTACGAAAACGGATGGACGAGATCGAGGACATTCTCAAGGCAAGTCAAACCAGGGAGAGTGCACTCGGAGGGTCCTAACGTTATGTCATATGTCGTCGCCATGCAGCAGAAGGTGGCAGATTGGATGATTCGGAAGGCGGAAGACAAAGTTATTATTAGAGGAATTGAATACAAAATGCTATTTAAACCATGGCTGACGCGCCGAGAACTGGAAGAAAGAAGAAGAATGCAAGATGCTTCCAAATTCTGGGTGATGGCTTTACGTGTCCCTCTGCGTGCTATGTTACCAGTAACGGATATGGTGCAACAGGCCATGGGTAGAATCATGAATGTGATTCCCCCACAACCGGATGCAACCAGACCGAAACTGATGAATTTAAAATTCGAACTGGTTCCGGAGGCAAAAAGTGCTTTTGTCTCGCTCTTACCTCTACGCCTGGAAGACGGTGAAACAATCAATATAGACTTTGTTTGTCAACATACGGCATGGTGTGATCGTTGCCGCTGGTGGTTTCATACGGTGACAGACGGCTGCCCGAAGCTTACACGGCAGGAAGACGAGCAGCGACAAAGAGCACCATCATCGGACCATTATTCGGCAAGAATGAGGCAGGAACCAAGCGTAGCAGCACAGGGAGGAATACGAGAGGCGGCACGAGACTTACCAATCGAGATAACTTCAGAAGCCGTAGTCGAATCGTCCTTGAGAGGGGGCAGAGGTGGAGGTCAACGCAGAAGGTCATCTCCGGCCATTTCAGCGGCGACAGGACAGCCAGTGTTCGGCAACCAATCACAGTCCGCAGTCCCTTTCCAGGCGCAATACACCTCAGGAGGACTTCATCCACCAGCTCACCAGGCAACACCATCTAATTGGGGAGCGTCAGGATTTATGCCCCTGGGAAATCTACAGCTGCCACGGTCACAGTCAGGACAAGATGCAAGAGGTGATCCGCAAGGTTCATTTATTCCAGGAGCCGCGAATTTCCCGTCTGGACATGGGGAATACCCATGGCATCCTGTCATAGTCGAACAGCGGGGATCTTGGCCGCAAGGATGGGTCAAAACACCCTTGTTGGTCAGCCTCAGCAACAGTATCTGGGGGGGAATGGTTTTGCCACAGGAATGTCGTCGGGAGTGCCAACGTCAAGGGAACTGACGACAGTTTTTGAAGACGGTCAGGGAGGAGCCCAGAGCGGTGGATCTCGACTTGTTGATCGGAGGGTGCGGCTTCCAAGAGGAGACGGGATTAGAAGAGACGAGAGATCGGCGTGCTCTGAAGAAGTTCGCAGCCTGAAGCCCCGACCACAACAAGAGAGAGTAGAGTCAAGCGACTCGGAGGAGGAATCGGATGCAGGCAACGGAGGGGGTACAAAAGACGAAGAAGCAAGATCACTGGTAGATATTCATGAAGGAGCTGATGCGAGGGCAAGGGACGATGCTGACATGGAGACGAACTATCTTTTGCCACTGGTTTGTACGCTTCGAAGGGGTGAAATTTTTGTAGTAGGTCTCAGATCAGTTGAGAACCAATTGAGCCTTCCTGTTAGCAGTATCTCCGAACTTCCCTCATGCTCTTCTGTAGTAGAGAGGGTGTCGAGCTTGTTTGCTTAGAGATTCATGTTTCGGATTTTTCCGGAGGATCGCTTAACCGGGTTGAGAGTGGATCTGCCCCAAGGAGGGAGTATCAGGTACTCTGTGGCCTTAATTGACGCTCGGTTGGAACCGAATCAATGGCAAGGGTTGTGCAACGTAGGTTTATTTGCAATCCGGTTGAGGATTCTATTGGCGGATCATCAGAAGGAGCTAGAGCAAGTGAGTGTAGAACCCAATCAGACAACTTCCTTCTTACTGAATCTGAACGGGGCAATGCTAAGGAGAAGGAATTTGACGTCAGCCTACTTTGCGGAGGTTCTCAGCACCAGATGGCCTGATGCACTCTTCAATCAAGGACAAATGCAATCTGTCGGTGTCCAACAACCAGGACTAAATGGGGAAACTTAACATAGCTTCGTGGAATGTTCAGGGGCTAGGTGATATTGGCGGTAAACACAAGGTGAGGAGGCTGAAATCGTGGATGCACGAGAAAAAGATAGACATTATGTTTGTTCAAGAAACGAAGCTTTCAGAGGATAGGCTGTCTAATCTGACTGATTGGTGGAGGGGTCCTCAGCTATGGTCGCCAGCGCGAGGTAGTAAGGGCGGCGTAGCGATCCTTATCAATGAGAGTTTGGAAGCTTCGTTAATTGACTGCGATAATGATCTTTGGGGAAGGTGGTGCTGGGTTAAGTTGGGGATTGGGTCAGAGGATTGGGTCTTTGCCTAATGACCCTCTCGATAGGATAAAATTTGTGGAGCTGTTGTCAAGAATAGTTCCTAATTCTGATCATCTGGTCATTGGGGGAGACTGGAACATGGTCTGTGACCCCTCCATTGACTCAGAAAAAGACGATCGAGGTAGAAGGGACAGGAGGACCTTATTGAACTGGATGGAGAGCTCGGCACTTCATGACCCCTTCAGGGAAATCCACCCGAACAAGCCAGGTTTTACCTGGTTTGGCAATTCCTCTCAGTTGACAGGGGTTAAAAGAAGACTGGACTTCTTCTTAATCTCAGAAGGGTTGGTTAGCGAGGTGTTGAAAGCAGAGTTGCATGATGCTTCACTATCAGATCACAAACCAGTGTCACTGGTAATCAAGACAGGTGAAGTAAGTGAGAGGGGCCCAGACTGTTTTCGCCTGAACACGACCTTGTTGGAAGACGAGGGCATCATGGACTGGGTCAGGACTTTCTGGAAGGACTGGGAAAAGGCTAAAAACGTTATGGGTACTCAAGCAGACTGGGTGGACACAGGTCTTCGAATTATCTCTAACAGGCTTGAGACTTGCTCAAGGATAGCAGCCTTCTTACGGAACCGTGAGGAAAAGGAGTGTGCTCGAAGAGTACAAGAGGCCGAAGACAGAATGTCGGAACATCCCATCTCAGAGCTTGCTTGGGCGGAAGAAAGACAGGAACGGATGAAGGAATGGGAGAGGTGTCAAGTCGAGAAACAGGACCGTTGGGAGCAGGTTCTCAGTGAAAAGAACATCGTTTGCAGGGACAGAATGACAAAAGAAAGTTTTCAGTTACTGCTACCAAAACGGAAAGCGGTACAGATGCGGGAATTAAAACACCCACATCTGCTGGCTCTTCCTGCAGCAGCGGATAATCCAGGGATGTGCTCATATGCAGCGGATTATTTCTCTGAGATCCTGACAACGAAGGCCCCGTATGACGATCTAGACACAGACTTAACTTCTTACTCAGATCTATGGGCAAGGATGGAGGTAGGGCTGTCGTCAGAAGGCAAATTGCAACTGGATAAACCATTCACAGCAGAGAAACTGACCAAGACGCTCAAGTCCACAGCCATGGGGAAAACACCGGGTGATGATGGATTGCCAAGGGAGTTCTTTGAAGCCTGTTGGCATCTGCTGGTACACGATCTAGTGGGGGTGTTTAACTCAGTCGCGGAAGGAGAGAAACAGGGAAACTCAATGGCAAGAGGAGTGATCAACCTACTTTATAAGAAAGGGGATAGGGATGAGATATGCAACTCGAGGCCTATCTCCCTGTTGAATTTCTCATACAAACTGTTGGCTAAATCTCTCGCCAATCGTTTGGCACCTTATCTACCTGCGTTGGTGGGGTTAGATCAGGGGGCTTTTGTCAGAGGGCGATCCATCTTTGAGAACCTAGCTACAGCAATCGAAGCCATGAAAGTGATAGAGGAGCAGAATCTAGATGTAGTAGTGCTAATGTTGGACCTCGAAAAGACGTACGATAGGGTTAATTGGTCGTTCGTACTGACGACGCTGAGAGCAATGCACTTCGGAGATAGATTCTGCAGTATGGTCAAAGCTCTGTACTTCGGTGCAACTGCGGTAGTCCAGGTAAACGGGCACCACTTAGAAGAAATGACTCTTACGAGGTCTCTCAGACAAGGTTGTCCGTTGGCACCTCTGTTATTCATTCTGCAAATGGAAATGCTCCTCAGCGACATCAAAAGGCATCCCCTGCTGGAAGGACTGAGACTACGGTCTGGAAAAGAGTGCAGAGTCAAAGCTCTGGCGGATGACCTACTGGCCTTCTCAGTCAACAACAAGATCTCCCTGGAAGCTCTGAAGAAATGTCTGGCCAGGTATGCGGAATTTTCGGAAGCAGCTGTAAACTGAAACAAGTCCATATTCTTCCTATCCAGTTCATATACACTGAAGGTGGAATACGGAATGAGGAGGATCCTTGCTGGAGAAGCAGAGCGTTATCTGGGAGTACAGTTGGCACTGGGGAACTGTTCTGCGTCTCAGAGTGGGATACTGCAGGGGAAAGTGACCGGAAGGATTAGGAAGTGGGGGAAGGCAAAACATCTGTCTCTAGTAGGCAGGATCCTAGCAGTGACTGTTTCTGCCTTCTCGATCTTATGGTATGTGGCGAGGCTGAGAAAGTTGGAGAAAGGTCTGCTACAAACTGTTAAGGCGGAAGCCCCGGAGGTTCATCTGGAAACCAGGCTCACAGACGAACAAAGACTCTATCAGCAAGGTGGCGTGGGGGACTTTGTGCAAACCCAAGGAGGAGGGAGGTCTGACTCTTGTAGATCCAGAATCACAAAACCTGTTGTTGTTGGCCAAATGGCTAGTAAAGGTAGCCACCTCCGACCAAGAATCTGATTGGCTGTTTCTGGCGGAAGAGATTCTATGTGAACAGTGGGGCCTAAGCCGCCCCTCAGATTTCTGGGTTGCGATAATGATACACTCGTTCCTGAACAAACGCCAGAAGGCGCAGTTTTGGAAGGACATTCTGATGGGCTGGAAGCAATGTAAGCCGGACATGCATGCTGAGCCGCAATCCCAGGGATCAGAAACCGAGAAGGGGAGATGTTTTCTGCTAACACTAAGCCAGAATCCTACGGGATGAAGTGGATCAGAAAAGGGGTGTCCAAGGTGGGGGATCTTTGGGAGGACTCACGAGGGCAATGGGTTACGCGGGCAAAGCTGAAGGAAAAACTGGGCAAATTGCAGCGGCAAGAGGAATGGATGGACCAGTTGATAGAGGCCATCCCAACATATTGGAAGGCGCTTCTAACCTCCGAAGTTATCCCCAAAGTCGGAACGTGGTTTCAGGACCCAGAAGATGAAGATGGTTTTTTCAGACTGGAAGGGTGGCACGAGGATACGCCAGGCAAATGCAATCTCCGCAGATTCAAGAGGAAATATAAAAGTCTTTCGACCTTGGTCCAGGGGGAACCTTCAGCTAGACTTGGAGTTTCAGGGCTGAAGGAATGCAAAGTTACCAGCCAGAGAAGCACAAAATTTCCGGATCTGGTTCAATTCGATCTGATCGCACGAGGCACGAGCACGGATGTTCTCAGGCTTGACCAAACAGGCTGGGGGTGGAAACATGACCAAGGGGTATCATGGGACCTGGCGAATCTTCAGAAAGCTGTAAGGAAGAAGAAAGACAAGAAGAGCAAGAAAGTGACTGAGGAGGTGTGTACCCAATGGGAAGAAGCGTTACCGCATATCGCACCTCCCACAGAGAAAGAGTTTGAGAAGTTTTGGTCTCAACTGCCTCAGATCCCCTCCCAAAAGCTGGCGTCTCTTCTATGGCTACAGTCACATCAAGTAGTTCCAGTAGCGCGATGGTTGCGAAAGAGAGGGATGTCAGTGAAGGAAGAGTGTGAGAGATGTAACTGGATTTTTGAGACCCTGCATCATCTCTGGTGGGCATGCCCCAAATCAGCCAGATGGTGGGAGTGGTGGTTTCAGAAGTGGGCCGAGATTGTGGATAGACCGGATCTGACAGGGGAAAGATGGGTGCTGCTGGGTTTACTCCCGGACAACACACCAGGTGACAAAGGATGGGGCTATATCGCCCAAGTCACCCAGGCAGTGATGATGTGGGTAATCTGGTCCGACAGGAATGATCAGCGGTTCCAAGGTAAGACTATGTCTGACACCCAAGCGGCAAGAGTCTTCAAGGCTCTACTCAGGAATGAGATTAGAACAGACTGGAGGCGGAAAACAGGATGTGGCAGGAATGTAGATGGACTGAGGTGGTTTCGGAGTACTTGGGCTCATTCGAGTCATTTTGCTAGGATCTCATCAACAGGCAAGCTTCAGTTGGCAGATTGGCTGACGAGGGAGGCTAACTTGTAGTAGTAGTAGGGGGTTAGTAGGATTTAGGCTCATGGATAGAGATTTTGGTTTGTGTGGTGTTGAAGCCTTGTGGAGATTTYTTCTGAACCAGGGCACTCGGTTTCTGTGGGCAGTCACAGTAGACTGCAGTGGGTTGGAGGGTGGGAGAGTGCCAAGGTACTATAAGGAACAAGTGTTCCTCCMGGTCGAGTATAGGCCGGGTCTGGCCCATGCTAGGCCAGTGTAGCTGTAGGTGGGATAGGGTAGTAGGTGAGGGAGGTTAGAATAGATCTAGGTTATGCAGTCGCGAACATTGGTGTGTTTTGATGTGTGTTGAGC